ATATAGCGGGGGAAAAACCCTGAGATTTTATGTACATTTTACAGGGAGTATTTTTAATCGCGGACGTGTCTGAAGGAAAGCGAGAGTCGAAGGACGCGACAGCTGATAAGCCCACCAGGATGCGCGCGGGCGAGGTGCGCAGATAAGATGCGCGCGACGTTGACAAATGAAGTCTGTATAAAACACGTACTGTACTTGACAGAGGGCAGCGATTCCATAGCAGAACGAAAGTAGATCTAGATCTAGAAGAGGATAACTTTCCAATATTTAATGGACATCTGACGAAGGACTGCATTTAGAATATTACATTTAAATTTATATCGATTATACACCTGAAGATGGTTCATTGAAAACCGAAACATGTCGTGAAAAAGATGATGCTCTAATTGTAAATCGAACATTTCGATAGAAAGAGCATCATTTTAATATATATTTTAAATATTTTAAATATTAAATGTTAATTGTAATAATAATATTTTAATATTTTAATATTTAATAAAATATTTTATTGTGATTAGACGGTTAAAATTAAACAATTAGAAAGAAAGTAAGTAAAAGTGAACATCAACGGAACCTACTGACTCTCTTGTGTTTGAAAGTACCCAGTTCATGTCCCGCTATCAGCACCACGGAGCGGGAAAATGCAATGCAAATATTCGTAATACAATAATTTTTGGCAGCCATTTTGAAGGATAGACACGTTGTGATTAACAGCGACGTGGAGGTATTATTTTAAATTCCGCGCCTGAAATGACTTATATCGTGGTTTTATCCATTAACTACTCTAATTTCTTCGTTATTATTTCCAATTTAACATCCGCAAGGGTTCATACTCCATTTTTGAACTTCAAAAAGATACCTCGATGTACGAGCAATACATTTACCGTCACTGCACAGAAAATTCAGTTCTCTATTTGCGTAGCCAAACACGCATGAAAATAAACAGGACAATTATCCATTGAACTGGGTAGCATAAAATAATGCAAACATGTCGTCATCCCTAACAACCCACTATTTCGTTACACTTTATACGTATTTTGCGTTACGCCAAAGACTCGCCAAAACGGCTACGGAAACCTATGAAATGCTAAAGCAAGCATTTGGGGAGTCCGCAATGGGTCGTGCACAAACTTTTGTGTGGCATTCACGTTTTAAAAATGGCCGAACCTCTGTCGATGATGATGAGCGTTCTGGACGACCATCTTCGAGCACAACGCCCGAAACTGTTACGAAGATCGACGTCGTACCATCAACGACTTGTGCGACCTTGTTGGGATAGGCTATGGGACCTGTCAGCTGATTCTAAAGGAAGAACTCCACATGCGACGCATCATGACAACGCACCAGCGCACACCGCCTTCAAAGTTCGGCAGTTTTTGGCCTCAGACACCATGGCCGTCATCCCACACCATCCTTATTCGTCGTGTGACTTCTTCCTCTTCCCAAAGATGAAAATTCAGCTAAAGGGAAGGAGATTTGAGGCGATAGAAGAGATTCAGGCAGAATCGCAGATGGTGCTTGACAGGCTGACAAAGAAAGATTTCCAGGGATGCTTCCAGGCTTGGCAGCGGCGCTGGGATCGTTGTGTTCACTCCCAGGGGAACTACTTCGAGGGTGATGGATGAATTTAATACCTGAGATAAGTGTACGGGTTTTTATAGGCGCAGTCTGGAAACCTTCCGATCGCACCTCGTATATATTTACGTCTTTACGTCAGCAAATACACGTTGTGAGTGACAGTTATAGAAGATGGCTATCGAAATATTTTTTTAAAACCATATTTCTGATTCTTATATTATGACAACTCAATTAGTCGACGAGTGACATTGTTTCGTGCATTTCAAACGCAAGAATTTCTATTGGTCTGCGTGCCTTTAGAATGTGCTTTGTTGATAAAACGTTTTCCGATATATTTTGCGTCCTTTCACGCCAAACTGTCATAACTTTAGTCACGATATCATAAAATCGAAGTTAGCAAAGAATTTGCGACGTTTTATTCTCATAATTAAACCCTTACTATATAGATGTCTGGCGTAAAACGTAAAAATTATACACACGCACCTCTGATTTCGGAGACAAATTACAAAATTAAAAGGACCTGACTCATGGTTAGGAAGCCAAGCCCTCATTCCGACCACGAAAATACCTGACGGAATGAAATACCTAAATTAATACCCTCCATTTTAATAAATGTGGAAATTACATTATAACTTATTATAATTTTCAACGTTAAACGTCGAACACGGTTAAGTAAATATTTTATTTGAATACATAATTAATACAAGGCTTCCCACAAATGGTAAAGTTTTGTCTTATATGTTTTGATATTATCCTTACCGCCGTATTTTAACATTAAATTTAAAAAAAAGCTTATTTTGTGTAATTTCCAACAGCTGTAAATAAAACACGGCACTGCTTTATTTCAAATTGTCCATAAATTATTATTACATTTCAAATGAATACGTATTTATAATTTATTTTCTAAATCTCTCAACTCATTCTCGCTAAGGAAATTTCATTAAGCATAATTATAATACAACTTCTGTAGAAGATAAGAAGTTGCTCAGAATTATTCTCAAAAAGTATAATTTTATAAAATAAATTATCCTTACGTAGAAACAAAACACAAACAAAGTTATCATTCATCTTTAAGACACTATACACAACGGACCACAGTCCTTACTGAGAAACTAACAGTAGCTCATTTAGTCAAGGAAATCGTCATCTTTTATGGAACTCTAAGGTTCATCACCGTGATCACAAAAGCCCGCCACTGGTCCTAAACCAGATGAACACAATTCTGGAGGAAAGGATCAACAGAATATTTTCTCTGTAACCCAAAAGCGGCAATGCGACTTAAGCAGCTTTTATCCTCAACACTTCATATTTGTCCCCACAAGACGGATGGCTGACAGACGTTTCGGGAGCTTGTGTGACGTCAGGAAAAAATAAAAAGGATAAAACGTCTCTGTCCTGCTACGATGTGAAAAATTCCACCTTAATATGGTTAATAACTTCTTCAAAATTCGAATAGAACTTTCACCCACCAATTGGGAGTATAAATAATATTTGCGATAATTTAAATATACAGTAACAATATAGACTTATAAACATTAGAACACATAAAAATTTAGATGCTGAGTTTTCAACCTTGAATTGAGTTCCTGACTTTGCAGGCACTAATAAGTTCCTCGTAACATACTTTTATTCTCTGTTTTAAATTCGCAACTTTTAAAAAAAAAATCACTTAAAATTTCATCATGGATTTCTCCAGTCTGTGGGTCCACAAATAATCCGTCTTTCAATCATTCTCATTGACACTTGGAAATATCTGTTTCCATCCACAGCCTTAACAAAATTTTACATTTAAATGTAATAGGTATTCGCGGCCAGAGACGAATAAAGTACAAGATTTCCACATAACTAAATCAAAAAGAGAAATGTAAGTCATCAAATGACTCGAGTTACAACACAGAACAAGTGTGGACAAGTCACGAACACGGACACGCGAGCAGATATCGGCATACATACGTAATTAATGTACATTTTAGCTATTAAATACAAGATGGTTGTCCGAACACGTAAATGTACAGTTTAGTTTATGATTTTAAAGGATGTTTTGAAAATGGTGGGATTTTGTGTATCAAAACATAGAAAAAAAGATTGCAGTAACATCGCAAAATGACTTGGTCTCATGAAAATCGACGCATTACTAAAATATCGATATAAATAATTGTACTGGATATGCGAAACCCCAAAATTCTACCCGTCCGCGTTCTGCTTCGTCATACTTTGGAGTACAAAGACGCTATTAAATAAGATAAACGAAGAATTGTGAGACTTTAAACCAGCTTATGCCCTATTTTCTCACACTGAGAACGGAGGGCGGATGAAACTAAATATTACAGCCGAGAGAATAAGAATTATTTTCTCACACTGAGAACGGAGGGCGAATGAAACTAAATATTACAGCCCAGAGAATAAGAAGTAATGGGAGGTACTGATTAGCAAATTACCCTGACAACTCTACAGTAAACTTATAGCAAAAATTCTGTAAATAAATTACGGGTTTGTGGCACAAGAGTGAACATTCGGCGTCTATTTAAGCGGTAAAGTTTTCAGTCACCTCAATGGTACGAGGTGCGATCAGAAAGTTTCTAGACTGCGCGTATAAAAAAAACCCGTACACTTATCTCAGGTATTAAATTCATCCATCACCCTCGAAGTAGTTCCCCTGGGAGTGAACACAACGATCCCAGCGCCGCTGCCAAGCCTGGAAGCATCCCTGGAAATCTTTCTTTGTCAGCCTGTCAAGCACCATCTGCGATTCTGCCTGAATCTCTTCTATCGTCTCACATCTCCTTCCCTTTAGCTGAATTTTCATCTTTGGGAAGAGGAAGAAGTCACACGGAGCTTAGAAAGGAAGTTGGGGTCGGTTCTTGCAAGATCTTTGAGCTCCTGACAAACGAGAAGTCGATTCTGCTTCTGGTCCTCTGACAGGATGCGTCGCATGTGGAGTTCTTCCTTTAGAATCAGCTGACAGGTCCCAACAATGTCGCACAAGTCGTTGATGGTACGACGTCGATCTTCGTAACATTTTCGGGCGTTGTGCTCGAAGATGGTCGTCCAGAACGCTTGTCATCATCGACAGCGGTTCGGCCATTTTTAAAACGTGAATGCCACACCAAAGTTTGCGGACTCCCCAAATGCTTGCTTTAGCATTTCATAGGTTTCCTTAGCCGTTTTGGCGAGTCTTTGGCAAAATTTGATGCACACGCCATTCCGAAATCGCAGGAGGGTCGGTGTAATGCACTACCAAAACGCCCGTAACTAAGAAACAAATGCTAATTCGATGATGCCGGCTGGCACACTGATTCACTATGAATGTAGGCCGCACCCCCTAGCGACAGAAGCTCGTACTACATCCGGTTCGCCCTCTATTGACACAGTCTTGAAACTTTCTGATCGCACCTCGTATCTCCGTAACCAATGGACTTTATTTTAAAGATACGTCCAACGGTTCGAGATAATTCATTACGTTGATTCTGAAACAAAGTAGTGACTTAGCGTTAGATAGATTTTTGTTCAGTTACCAACTTAAAAAAAAAGTTAAATACATGGATGACGTCGCTGTTGAAATACGTACCCTGACCACTGGAACGATAATCACTGTGTGTCAATTGCTGATAACCGGAGGTATCCGTCCGTGTAGATGTCCAAAGTATCACATCGACATTCAATGAACCATTTCGAGCGGTATTTATGGAATTGGATCGGAAGTACAATACGCGATTAAATATTGATATCGTAAATTGATAATATGATGTCACAGCGCCATTGCTCCAGGCGAGGCAACTACGGCGGCGAGACACATTTATTGAAACAAAAGAGTGATGTTATTTTTTATTGCAGCCCAAAGCGTAATGTTCCAGATCTGATCACGACGAACTAGATCGAAAAGCGATTTTTTTTCCAGTTAATTCTTTTAAATATTAACCACGTCGTAAACGAACGTAAAAGATTAAGATGGCTGTCTTCTGGGTTACAGCACCGTGTATTACGGCAAACATTTACCAACGTTTCAGAGTTATTTCCTTCTTCCATCATCAGGGCGACGAGTAATCATGATTATTTATTTAGTGTTCTGTCTGACGACAGGTCCATATGAACAGGATCCTTCCATCCTTTTCTCTTCTCGGACTGGGACCTGTTCATATACGTTCTTGGCAGATGATCCAGAAGTGGTTTGCCATTGCCTTCTGCTGTGGGTGAATGGAGTAATTGTTGGGATGCCACGGAGGAAAACTCCGTGTTGCCTAGACCACGGCCTTGCCCAACACAAGTTATAAATTCGAACCCGAGACCCCAGGATTACAAGGCCAGGGTTCTAACCGCTAGACCACCGTCACGTCGTTAAATACAAGGTCAAAGTTTTCTAGGTTATGTGGGGGCAAGTTAAGTAAGATTTGGTCAGATTAAGTTTCCGTTTTCGTGTGTTAGATTAAGTGGAATGAGACAAAATTTTTAGTTAATTTACTTTGATTTCAGAATAATAGTTTGGACGATTTTAAGTGAGCTGAAGATAAGATTTAATATTTATACATGCGTTTTCGGAAGAAGGCATTAGAAAATTCTGTGCGTTAGGATGGGAATTACAACTTCCAGGCTTAATACGTGCGCATTCCTAATCGCACAATTCTGCATTCATGAAAAAAAGTAGTTCCTCTTCAGTTTAAACCCAGTTCATAAGAACCCGCATCGAATTTTAATACCCTTCATGTTTCTACAATACTTTCTCCTTATCAATACAGCCACCCTCAAAACTCACATGACTTTAACCCCCTAAACATCAACAAGTGATCCTTGAGGGTACATGACCACATGTCAGTAAATTTCTCCGACAAACCTTTGCTATACGTTGGGTGTTATCGTACGGTACGGTACCCTGAAGATGAAGGGTGCACACTACTTCAGAACATTCATAAACACCTTCAAGAACGTGCAATGCCATAACCCTAGAGGAAAAAACATCTGAAGGATGTTGCTGGACGTTGTTCGTCTGTGCGTGGTTGCTGTAACAGCGCCCAGATATTGATTGAGCTCCACACCTGCAAAGCGAAACTTAAGTCTCCACCGTAGAATCCTCCTCTCCTGTCGCCGCTCGCTTCGTTTGCCCTCGCTTGTAGAGGAAAATAAAGTATCCAATTCTTAGTCCATTTTATCCGGAAGTCAGCGGAGTCAGAGGACGAACTGAGAAATTGGTGCCCAGGGGGGATAAAGTAGAAGGTATCCGTTCATCCTTCACAGGAAATTCACCGTGATTTCTCAGCGTCGAAGAATTCACATTGGTACTACTTGTTTAGGTTAGGTTTCTGTGCGTTACTTTCAAACGCGCAGTGATACATTCGGTGTGAATTTCAGAACGAGTTAATTCCAAAGTCACCTTAATCCATTCCACGCCATCGTATCCTATTTCTTTAAAATATATTTAAATACAACTCTCGCGTGTAGGCTTCCATATTTCATGCTATACGCCTGCCCATCTCATTATCATTCATTTTACTGATTATTTCATTTTATAACATCTTCAGTTTATGTATTATCCTCAGAGCCATATTTGCGGAAAAGTGGCCAAAGTTTTTTGTGTTTTTGTTTAATTTGGTCCGATTAATAATTTTAAAAAAATTGATCTACATTTTATTTAAACTGGAGCCAATATTATAAGCAACGCCATCAATTTTGAAATTCTAAAGAAAATACGTGATTCCAATATCCCCTGACAACTAGGCATACGAATAGGTAACTTACCGCTTGTACCGACCTCAAATATCTTCGCCCTCTTACTCTGAGTCATTAAGGAAAACAATTGAATGTCATAATCGAACACTTCACTTCGATCTCACAATAACGTCTACAATCATAAAACAGACCACAAGTTTCCCCCTTACGTCAGAATTTATTTGTATAGAATCGAGTAATCCACCTACGGGTCTCAAATTTGTGTTTTATGTAATTTTGTTAGCAGTTTTCCTCAGTCACATCATGCACACAGCTCACTAGCATATCTTATGTCATTTCTGAAGCAAAATGTTTTCAGGACAATATCCAACGTCCAAGATTAAATAAAAATATTAAAACCACGACGTTTCGGAGATGAGAGTCTATCTCCGTCTTCAGGCAAAATCTACTCTTTTGGGCCCAATCAATAGGGCCAATCCCTACGCCCGGACCACTTCTGAGCATTTTTTAAATTAAATAATCAAATTAATTAAGTTCTAAATATGATTTTGTCTATCTCTCGTCAACTTGGTCGCTTAAATTTCCTAAATGCTTAAATTCACAAGTCTGACATGTCACTTAGAACAATCTTACATCTGTGATACTGTGCCCCCCATTCGACTCAAATGTCTTGTGACATCATTTCACACGGAAGGTAGCCGAGTTGGTCCATCCCCTTTTCGTACTGTTATTAACGTAGTGAATAGCCCAAGATGGCGTGTTAAAAGTTAAAAACCTGGTGCATACGAAAGGGATTATGGGGTATGTAAGTAGGTAGTCAGTATGCAAATATCGAGGGGTGAACTTGGTGAAACGCAGGTTAAGGCGAGCACCACATGCAACTAAGGGGCAGTGTAAGGGTTGAAACAACCCCCTTGGAGGTACGTTTTGAATTAAGCAGATTCTTATCATGACACAGCAACTACTTCAAGCGAGCAGAGTCTTAACTCAGTGATAAGTACACACGACACTTAACCCTGCGTTATACATAAGGAATGAAGTTTTTCGGGGTTTCGTTATCATCTTTACGATAAAAGACACCATTAAACAAGTGATCTTCATGACGGAAACGCTTAATGTTGTGTTTGAGGTTAGAAATTAATTTTTAAGCAGTAATTAGATCATCCAAAATCAGACTTTTTATTTTAAAATAAATCCACTGCATGTGTGTTAGGGAAATCTTAGGGGGATACTACATTGTTTTGTTTGCAGTACTGATGGATAGTAATCAGCATACATTAAGGTTTTATCTGATTCAAAATCCTCACGGCGTTACAGTCCAGATGATGTAGATCGATATGTATTTTTATTTTATTATTATTATTTAGTGTTCTGTCTGACGACAGGTCCATATGAACAGGATCCTTCCATCCTTTTCTCGGACTGGGACCTGTTCATATACGTTCTTGGCAGATGATCCAGAAGGGGTTTGCCATTGCCTTCTTAGAATATATATATATATATATATATATATATATATATATAAAAAATTAGTCTTGCCTGTATAGAATACTCTTATCAGAAACACGAGGTGGCAAAGTCTCCCCAGGGCAGAAAATTTTTGAGCTTGTGAAAAAAATGCGTTCTGGGGCAGGTATTTATTAATATTACTTCCATTTTGCCCGGTAAGCGTCTGTCAACAAATCCGCCACATATATCTCCCTCTCACCCTTCGGTAACGAGCTAATAAAATATTTCCATTATATGCAGAATTTTTAACGGGCTGTGTCACATAACTCTAAATTTATAATTATTAATATGTAGACGTAACTTGTATGGCATATGTCCAGATGTAATCTATTACTTTCATTAATTTACGTGGACACAATTATAAGATTGTAATTTTATTAATGAGATCCGCGCACTAAGACAGGCCTGGGCTATTATCTGTGAAAATTGTGGACCCAGTTTAAAATATATATCGATATAAACATGCTTAAATATCGACTTATTAAATAAAACAATTCCTGGTAATTATGTTTTTAAAAACTCCTAAATCCTAATATACAAGATATATATAATGTTTTCAGTACTTCTCGATTTATTCAACAAAAAATATGACGCGGCATCAGGTGATAAATTGACCGCTGATCGATAAATTGTTATCGATATGTAATCGAGTTATCGTGGCCTTCTGTTGATATAATATTGCATTTCTCTGGAATAACGAAGGAAATTTACGAAAATAATTAGTCTGGTTAGCTGTTCTCAGCCGAGATTCGAACAGGGACCTTCAGAATAGAAGACCACCCACTTTAACGTTACCTGAGACATGTTGCGAACTTTTGGTAGCGAGATCTCTCTTGAGGATAACAGAGTGTACTGAGACGTGAGCTCCTCCCTCCAACCCTTCGTAAAATAAATCCCGAAGACACTTGAGTCGAAGTGCTTTTTCCCAGGACCTCCCCGATTCATCAATCACAGATCGCGCTGTAATGAAGCGTCCGCCTTCTGAGGTCGTGAAACCCTCGCGTGGCCTACATTAACATTCGCTGAGAGTTCGTAACACCGGCTGGAGGAGTTGGCCAACACGCAGCCTGCTGCTAATGGTTAGGATACCCTTTCCAAAACCGAGAGCCCTGACTGCTTTCTGATCCGTCGGACATCCTCAGCTTTGCGTTACACACACGTCATCCGGTCCACGTACGTAGGCCGCGTTATCATAACAGGTAGGTTACTCCATAACCAACGAGAAATCTTACCCCTTCCAAAACCGAGAGCCCTGACCGCTTTCTGATCCATCGGACATCCTCGTCCGGTCCACGTA